AAACCAGAAAGGTCATGTTCAAGTTTTATTTCTTGTACTTAAAATCTAAACACTGCCAGTTTTATTAGAGTTTAAATACACACTGGTGTTTACCCTCCCATTTGTGATGCCCCACTTCCTGCAAAGTGTACTCTGAATAATGAGTGAGCAGTGTTTGTTTTCCTGATGTGGGGTTTTTACAGCCAAAGCAAACTAGCTAGATGGAGTCACACAAAACAAGGCAAGACTGCTTAACAATATGATGAACAGGTCTCCACCAGTATCTCAGCTCTTCATTTCCTAGCATGTCTGGGGGTTGGAGGTTTATGGGACATCTGGCTTCTGTGAAATAAAAAGGCCTTTGTAATGGACATGTTACATGTTTAACAGAAAAGTATTAAAAACAACAGCAGCAACAAAGATAAAACCTCGGGGTTAAATGTTAGGGGTAGAAGACGTACAAACAACCTGTCTTCTAAATGAATTTTTAGTTTGAGTTAAACTGTAAATTTAATTTACCTACAAAGGCTACATTTTATCTTGTGGCAACAGACACAGACATATACTCACACTTTAAAAATATTAGGAAGTGTGAGTGTATTCAAAGTTACACAAGTTTTGATACTTGTCAATTCAGCATAGCAGAATTAAGTCATAAACACTTTCAATGAGGGCAGAGGATGTCTCAGTTTTAAACAATATCAGGACTTTCTTTAGTCTTCCCCAAGTACTAACCTTCACCACAATTATATCCCAGAGATTGGGGGACTAATACTGTGTGGACTGCAATCCTTAGATGTCTCCCCCTGCCCTCAACCCCTGCATCCAGTCACCAGCATCCCTGCATTCAAAGACAAGAACAAAGACCATCTACCTCCTACTGTTTCTTTTTTGCATTTTGGCTCTTCAAAAAACAAGTCAATGTATTAACATAGGGTATTTTTTTTGTACTGCTGTTTGTAATTAAATAAAAGATTTAGGGTCAGTGTATCAAGGATTCCATTTATAAGCCCATCAAATTTATTTAAATGATGGTAATTTTAGCAAGTTCTATAATAGGGGAAAGAACCAGTCGGGGAATTTTCCCTCAATAGTTTTAATATGAAAAACAAGGTGTAGTGGGTGGAGGGATGGAGTTTGGGGAGTAGGCTGGAAGAGAAAGTTAAATTGCTCCTATATCAATGAACTGCTGTTATCAATACACACTTTTCCCCCAAATGACTTAAATGATAAACTTCCTTCTAACAAAGGCAGAATGGTTTCAGGGAGAACCACTGCCCATAAAATACAGAATTTATTCTGAGAAAGTTAACAGGAACAATCACTTATGTTTCAACTACACAAGAACCTTCAAAAAAGCTTTTTCAGGGCAGAAATTCCTATAATGTTCATTTTTGCTGAAAATTATTAAGGCCTCCCTCAAAAGTTCCATTCAGAGCCTCTATTGTAAATCCTTAATAGATGCAAGTCTAATGGCTACAGTCAAATACAGTGTGTGGGAAAAGACAATCACAGACCACTATGTATTATTAAATATTTACTTGGAATGAGTACACATTACCCACCCCAGGTCTTAAAACCACCTCACACAGGTGTTTTCTTTACAGAGATTATAACGCTGCTTTGCTTCAACCTTGAGAATTTTATTCTGGAAAACTCAGTTATAAGGTTGCTCTTGCGGAATAATTAGATACATAGAAAGGTGATGAAGATACATAGAAAGGTTGGGAAAAGGATGAAGAGGACCAGACAAGGTTTTTTTTTTTTTTTGCAAAGAACATTGGTAGAGAGGGTGGTTGAGTGAGAGGATAGGGAGAAAGAAGTGTGTTAAAGTATGCTTAAGAGGTAAAACTGAAGTTCATAGGGATTAACCAAAGTATCTTTTAAAATCTCAAACCATCTAAGTAATCTATTTTTTATTTCTAAGACCACAGTGGAACCAAAGAGATCAACAACCTTCTTATTTAAAAATAAACAAAAAAACACACATACCCTTATAATGCTTAATTGGAGGAAAAAATCCACTGAAATAAGTTCCTCTTAGAATATACATGCTTGCAATCATATGAGGGTAATAAATGGGTAGGAAGATCCTGGAGTGTCATGAAAGCAAAGCATGGAAGTCTACAGTATCTAAATTTTGTTGATCATCTATTTAGCGTACTCTTTATCATTTTAAGCACACTAAGATATTTTTAAGTGCTTTCATAATCCTCTCCAATCCTTTTCTCTCCAGTCTTTCAAATTCCTTAATAGATGTACCACTTTATAGAGACCAGTTTTCTTTCATATTTTATTATCTTGCAATGCTTGCTACTATTTATTAGTTCCAATTCAAGTTTCTTAATGTTTATATACTGGGACTCAGTATCATGCCTTCTTGTAAATGGGAGAAATTAAACAGAGACTTGTATCTTACACTCTAGTATACCAAGTGCTACAGTTAACAGTGCTTTGGTAGGGCTGATGCAATTTGTTGCTAGGTTCAATATTTTGGTATTAAAATTGCTCTGGCAACAAGAGGAAGAAGACTGACAAAATATGGTAAACTTTAGTTGCTTCATTGAGTTTGTGGAGTTAGATAGGGAAGGATTTGGCCTATAAAGAACTTTAAGGTAACTAAATCAGATCCTGCAGAAAAAGGTATATAGTAGCTTATTAGTGCATCTTTTAAGTGACTGGAAAAAACTGCCAACGAGACGGTAACATAAAGTTGATTTTCATCTTAAAGAAACACTGCAATTTCATATTTGCTAACTTTCTCTCTTCCAACATCTTTGTTTGCTTTACTTCAGAGTTGGAACTTGTATTCTTAATTTAGAGAATAGGGAGTGGTAGGAAGAAGAAAGGTAATATAAGTTAGACAATGTATACATTTTATATAATTTTCGACCTGGAAAGGGAAATTAGAGGTCAAGATGGTACAAACAGGTTTCAGAAGAGGAAACCTAGAGCTACAGGATAATTACCCTCTAAAGGTAAGTCCTAGAAGTGAGTGGAGTCAAAGCAAAATTAGCAAGTAAAAGTAAATCATCAAACAGTTGCAAGCAACCTTTGTTCCCCAACTGGGAACGCTAGCAGAGTTGTCTGTCCCATAGAGCCTTCTAAGTACTACCTGCAGAAGTCAGCTGGACCAGATTTACAAGACAAAGGGTCCAGTCAGCAGCATCCTCTGTGCTTACTAGCCAGGCAACATCCAGAAGGATTCTTCACCTCCACGGGTCCTTTATTCTACGTAATGTTTCTTTCACAGAAAAAAGAAGATTATTTTAAAGCACCTTTAAAGATGTACTGTTATTGGAGAAAAAAACGAAAAAAAGCCTCCACTTGCTGAAAGAGAGCAATCTGACTGCAGAAGCTAGATCAACAGTCATTCAAAAGTTTAAACTACAGGATAACTTGGTGACTACCAAACTGTAACCGACTCTACTCCTCTCTTCCTTATTATATCTTTCCCCCAAGCTCAAAATCTGGTGCTAACCAGGGCCAGCACACACCCCCAGGGCTTTTTCATTCCATTGGCTGGCCGGCTGCCCGGCAATCTACATCCTTTAGATTTACTGTCAGGACTCTCCGAGCTTATTTGTCAGAGATGTTACACACTGCTCACGTATCAATTTTTTTTGGTGGTGGTGGTGGGGGGGACGACGAGTACCAAACAGAAACTGTCAGGGTTGAAAAATAATTTAAAAGACCAACGTGTAATAAGTATATTCATTTGGTTAATGAAACTGTCTAGATTTCAAACCTAGAAGGCAATTCATTTAGCATGTTCCGGTATCATCTGTCACTGATGTGAAAAAGTGAAAAAACGAAAATCATTATTTTGTAGTTGGCATTCGGTGAGTCATATAAGCCCACAAAAACTTGCAGAGGCACAACGAGAGATGGGCTTAGAAGTGTATGTCGTCAGGAGTCATTCTATGTGTCACATCCACTAGAATCAGAAGAAAAGTGATGCGGTGCCGATTCTTCATACATCAACACAAGCAGAAGCCCGGGATGATGATGGCTCACGGGGAGGGAGACGTGGCCACCTAGGTGGTGGCTTTAAGGCGGAAAAATCACTGTACACCTGAACCTAACACGTCCGAGGCGGGAGCTAGGGGGAGCGTGGGAGGCGGCCAGTGCCCATCCGGGATGGGCTGAGCAGCGAACCCCGGGCAGACAGGAGGCCCGGCGCGCAGGGACGCGCAGAGGGAGCGAGGGACTCGGGGCGCACTCACCTCCTTTGCAGGGCGTGCGGTGCTGGCTGTGCTGGGCCCGGTAGCCCTCGATGACCTCCCAGGAGCCGTCGTCACGCCGAATGGGGAAGGACAGGCTCAGCACATGGTTGCAGGGCTTGATAATCCGCAGGATGCCGCGCACCCGGTTCCGCTTCTGCTCCTCGCTCTCCCGGGTCTTGAGGTCCTCCACCAGCTTGTCCTCCACGATGCTGGCTCCGCGGTCGAAGAAACCCTCCACCATCTTGAAGAAGTTGGGGTCGTCCTCGTGGTCGGCCGCCGCCTCGCTGTAGTGTCTCCGGGCGGGCGGCGCAAGCCCGGGCTGCGGGGCGGCGACAGTAGCGGTGGCGGGCTGCCCACGGGCCCGGCCCAGCAGTGCGGCCGAGTCGGCCGCGGCGGAGCCCAGGGCGGCGGGTCCGGCGCGGGACAGCAGCAGCGCTTCGCCCAGGCAGCGGTACATGGCGGCGGGGCGGAGGCTGGGTAGCAGAGGCGCTCTCGGAGGCCCGGGTTCGGCAGGAGGGAGGAAGGGCCCAGGGAGGGCTGCCCTTTTAAGCCGCAGTTTCCTGCCTTCCTGGCTGTCCCCTCCCCTCCGGCGATAGCCGCCTAAGCGGGAGGACGGACTTTGGGGGCCGAGGGCTCACGTAACCTGTGAATGGCAGGGCGGGGGGCGCGCACCGCCCAAGGCGCGGGCATCCGCCTCCGCCGCGCCCTCGCCCAGCTATCCTAGAGGCGGCGCGCGCCGGCGATGACGCTCGGGGGCGCGCCAGGCGCGGGAGGGCCCGGCGCGCATGCTCGAGCCGGCCGTGGGGGGCGGGGCGAGGGTCCCTGCGGGCTTCCAGGACCTTGGCATGGAGGCGGTGTCTCAGGTCAGCGCGCCTCCTGGGCCTCGCGAAGGGGAGGGGGCCTTTTGCGGGAGGGGGCTTGTTTGGGGAGGGATTTTATTTGGGGAGGGGGCAGCCAGGGGAGGGAGATTCCCGCCTCTGGAGGGCGCTGAGAGGCTGCACCCGCGACCGCGCTGGGGTGGAGGTGGTGCGGGCTGGAGGCGGGCCCGGGGCGAGTGAGTCATGGGTGTCCCTCCTTTCCGCCCGCGCGCCCTCGGGCGGGGCGGCCTCCCTGCCGGTCCCTGGTCCTGTCCTGCGGGGGCCCTGGGGCCTGGCGCGGGGCTCCTAGGCGGAGGCGCGGAGATTAAAGGCTTGGTTGGCTAAGGGCTTGGGTTTATCCTCAGGGACTGCGAACAATTTAATGTCATCCCGAGTCACATTTTTAAGGTGCCTTGCAGCACCTGGAAAGGAGGAAGCTGGGAACTGGGGAATCCTTTACCGACTGGCCTTTACTAGTAAACGTTTTTAATTTTGTCTCATTCAAGCACTGAAAGATGTTGAGATAAAATAGTTCTGTAAATCGTTGTATCTTTCTAAAACTTATAGACAGTGCTTCCCCTTTTCAGAAATGTTATTAAAATAGTCTAAAAGGCTCTAACAGGCTCTAAAGAAACGCAGTAATACTCCAGAAAATTCTCAGTAGTGTATGTATTAAGTGGTCCAGAATAGGATTTGTAAACTTTAAGCTACTTGAAGGTTTAATTATGTACATATACATACTTGACCAGAAATGCTAAAGGTATACATTCCTGTGGGCAAGTTAGATACTTGTGAAAGTAAGGACTCAAGTCTTTACAGCAAGCTACCAGAGGCCACCTTACCAGCTTTATAATGTACTCAGTGTACTTAAAGAGCACATTTTTTACCTGCAGAACGACTTTGCTTCCTGACTTTCACTTTGTTCATGTTTTAGAATATGGAAGAGAATGTTCTTAATTCTAACAATATACTGTGAAGTATGAAGTGACAAATCACATTCATTTAGCTCAGGGTACTCTCAAAGCAAAAAAGATGGAGCTTGTATTTTACCTTTTTTGTTAGATAAACTTATTTATATTTGTATTATATTTTTCAGTGGAAACTATTCTCTGAACTGAATCCTAAATCTGTTTTGTTGGTCAAAAGATTAAGGTGCCCAATTATTTTTCACTTGATATATTTTCACTTGATAGTGAAAAATCTCCAAGACTCTAAAGATTCAAAATAAAGAGGTTAGTATCAGTAAACATGTGGAAATTTTTTCTCTTCAGATTAAATTCTTTGGTATGTTTTAAGGAAAGTGGTTTAAAAGCTTAGTTTGATTGCTCTTGTTTATCTCTTTCTTGATAACCGTAGTCTTCAGATAAATAAGTGTTTAATTTTTCTCCTTCCAAGTTCACCTAAATTCAAAAGCTGGAAAGGCTATGGAAGGAGTTTTAATTGGGAATCTCCTGTAGGTAGATGTGTTACAAAATAGCTCTGGAAAAATCCTGTAACATAGATGCTTAAAAAAGAATCGTGTTTTTAATTATACACATATTGTAAAAAAAATTCAAACATGACAAGTAAGTTTAAAGAATGAGTGAAAGCATCCAAATATTACCTTTCCACCTCCCCCAGTAGTTAGTAGTTGTAGAATTTCTTTTCACACTAAAGTAGATATTATAATTCCTGATTTAACAGAAGGGGGAAACTAAGGCTCACAGAGACCAAGTGAATTCTTGATCATCACCTTGTTGGTAAATAGGCTAAGATTCAAACCTGTACATTTGACTCTAAAGTTATGCTATTGTTACTATTCAAAGAAGTATTTTAAATATTTGTTGCATTTATTTAAAAATTCTTTGCTGTGATGTAAAGAGTTTCAGCTTTACATTGATGACCTCCTTTATGAAATATACAGATATTTTGGAAATTAAAGCTTAATTAGTAGTAGTAATTTCCAGTTCAAAAGAAGGCCAGAATGTAACTTGAAGGGAATTTTGGTCATTAGTAGCATTCAACAAAGACATACCAGTGTTCTGTCTTTGAGGTTTGAGTTATCCTTAGCTATTTTAAAACAATAGGTCTTTCCTCATTGATCTATAGTATGCTTTTGTGCTTTCAAGTGCTTTAAAATATCTTAGAAGAATTTTAGGATTTAGAAGGACAGCATATAAATACATGACAGCTTTGTCTTTTTTTAATTATTAAAGTATCATTGATATACACTCTTAATGAAGGTTTCACAAGAAAAATAATGTGGTTACTACATTCACCCATATTATCAAGTTCTCTACCCCCATACCCCATTGCAGTCACTGTCCATCGTGTAGTAAGATGCTACAGTCACTACTTGTCTTCTGTGTGCTACCATGTCTTCCCCATGACCCCCACCCCCATACCATGTGAACTAATCATAATGCTCCTTAATCCTCTTCTCCCTCTCTCCCCACCCGCCTCTCCCACCCCTCCACTTTGGTAACCACTAGTCCCTCCTTGGAGTTTGTGAGTCTACTGCTGTTTTGTTCTTTCAGTTTTGCTTTGTATGTTACACTCCACAAATGAGGGAAATCATTTGGTGTTTGTCTTTCTCTGCCTGACTTATTTCACTGAGCATAATACTCTCTAGCTCCATCCATGTTGTTGCAAATGGTAGGATTGGTTTCTTTCTTATGAATGACCTTTCTTATAAAAGCAAACCTTTATTCTATCTTTTGCATTTTCTCTTTGAAAGTTTTACATCACTTGTGATTTCAGTTTGGGATTGGAGTTTGAATAGTAAGAAAGAAAGTGTAAGCTATAAATTGGGACCATCTATGATGCTGTTTAAAACAGACATAACTGAAAAATATATACAGCAGCAGTAAGTACCTTCCCGTGGACTGTCATGGAAAAGTTGTAGAAGGAACAAACTTTATTGTGAAGCATAGATGTGAGTATAATTACACTGAGTTTGCTCCTTAGTGAAAGAAAGAAAAGAAAAACCTGAATGAAGCAGTAGAGATCAAGATAAGCACTGGCAATGTCTTGGAGTCAGCTAAATGGTGGTGGCCTTACTTCCTGATTTGGAAAACATGGGGTGAACAGATAATTACTGGCTATATTAGGATGTTTTGATCCTCAAGTAAGAATATCCAAATAGAAATGGCCCAGTCTAAGGCCATAAACTAAGGTAACTATTATCTACCAAGAAGCCTGGAGGCACAGCATTTTGCTGGTACAGGGTTCAGTGATACCATTGGGGACTCAAGTTCTTTTCTCTGTGTTATATTCAGCAAGCTGTAGTCGTGAGATTGCTACAGCTGTTTCAGGGGTCACGTGCAGACACAGCTAAGTCCTACATAGAAGAATAGCAGTTTCCTCCCGTACTTAGATCTCTTATTGGAAAAGAAAACCTTTTCCAAAGGCCTGCCAGCCAGCTTTAGCTGCTTTGGCCCCAGTAGCTAGGACTGGATTATATGCCCCGCCCTTGTAGGGGAGGCTAGAAGGAGGATGTCCCGGCACTTTGAGCTTCTGAAGTACAGAGAGGCCCTGCCAGCGAGGAAGAAAAGGTGGAAGGAATAGTTGTTAAGCTGGCAAGAAACAGTATTTGCCGTGTTTGCCACAGAAAATAACTGCCCTGTCCTGTGTGATCTTATTGTGATAACGTATTTTCTTAGAATACAAGTGCAGTTTAAGAGGGGTGACACAGTCGTAAAGTTAACACTGGGGATTATAATGCTTGTGGTTTTATATTCTCTACATTGAGAAATCTGCAGATGTTAGTTCCCTTTAAAAACTCTCATGTTTCATGTTTCTACATTGAGAAATTTGCAGAGTCTAGTTCCTCTTGTGATCTTATATAATGATGATAGTTTTAAGATTATGTCTCCTTTTTTTGAACAGTTTTTTACTTTGACATCTCATAAGGCAGTAACTCCATGCTGTGGTGTTTACTCTGTTGCCAGACAAGAGAACAAGACAGGAACCCATCCTCAACTGCTGGGGAAAATCTGGGAATTATAATGAAATATTAAGTGCTCAAATAATTTCAACAGATTTCCAGATGAAGCTGCCATCACCAACTTCTTGTCATTGGCGTAATACATAAGCCAGTGGCTAAAATTAACAAGAGAATTAACTGGCCTTTACGTTGAAATGAGAAGTCCTTGTCTGTGTGCAAAGAGCGGAAATGAGAGTCTCCTTGGAGGCTCTGTGTTATAGTAACATACTAACAGAACACAGCTTGGGATTCAGCTATTTTGAAGATACATGGGGTGGGTATGTAAAGGTTCCTGTTGCATAATTTGTCCACCACTGTTTCCTCATCACATGTAGAATCTTTATGATTGCATATGGAGGGCTGTCTAAAACCAATGAAATGCAAAGGGATTGTATCTTATTTACAAGTTTGTATCTGCCAGCCATCCACAGTGAAAGTTCTGGTCAGTTATTAAGAAAAGAAAATAACAAAAAAAGAATTAAGTGTCAGTGAACATAGTCTGTCAGTGGGAAGGTGCTAATACAGAGCTAGAATTATCAGGAGAATGAGGGAAGTTTGTGATGAAAGGCTCAAATTAATGCCAGTATTTGTCTCTACCTTCATTTGTCTTTTCTGGATTGGAAATGAGATGAATTATTTTGAATAAAAATAATTTGATATATTTATATAAGTCTATCCTAATGAATTATATAATATAGACTTTGTCTTCTGTAATTTTATATTACCTTCATTTGTCTTTTCTGGATTGGAAATAAGATGAATTATTTTGAATAAAAATTATTTGATATATTTATATATAAGTCTATCCTATAAACTTATATATAATATAGACTTTGACTATCTTCTGTAATTTTATATTCTTTCCTGCCCTTTTTTTAAATAAAATACACATGTACACAAAAGAACAAAACCACATTAGAGAAGCAATCATGTATTCAAAGAAAAATTTTAATTGAAAAAAAAACTAAAAACCCAAGCCCTGAGAAAGTTCAGTTCCATGTCTCTTATTGGTTTTCATTTATTTTAACATTTTCTTAGAGAA